CTCGCAAAGCTCGTGGTCGGTCGTAGGTGCGAGGCATGCCAAAAAAACAAACCTCTCCCTACTCTCACTTTCATTGTGCATACAGGGGTTCGGCCCGCATACTCGCACATATGTTAGACTCCTTGGTCCGTGTTTCAAGACGGGTCGGTTGAAACCGTTAAGGACAGCATCGCAGAACGTCAGTACTCGAAAGTGAAGCTGACGAACGCAAAAAAAAACACACCTCAGTGAACAACTGAACACAAACCCAGAGGCTATAACAGCCCACGAGAGACCTACCTTCCTCGGGGAGTATAGTCAGTCAGTTCACTGATGCTGACCAACCTCCAGGGATCGAACTGGACAAAAGCAGTACTGAACGCCCCCTACCCCTGTAACGGAAGTGTGGGAGCACAACACTACAAGTACCCAATCGGCACCCCAGAGACGCTAAAGTTTCAATCGCTTCCCTTTCAGCAATTTCAGACACTTTTAACTCTCTTTCCAAAGTCCTTTTCATCTTTCCTTCACAGTACTTGTTCACTATCGGTCTCACGCCAATATTTAGCTTTATGTGAAACTTATCACACATTTTGCGCTCAAATCCCAATGAACGCGACTCAATAAAAGCGCACCGTACGTGGAGACCTAACAAGCAGGACAAAGGACGGGACTGTCACCCTCTCTGATGTTCTGTTCCAAGAAACTTGGACCTGCCCCTCCACTGGCCACGCTTCTAGAGGCTACAATTCGTGAGGCCAAACAAAGGGACTCACGATTTTCACTTTGAGCTCTTCCCGCTTCACTCGCCGTTACTGAGGGAATCATTGTTATTTTCTTTTCCTCCGCTTAATAATATGCTTAAATTCAGCGGGTAACCTCGACTGATTTCAGGTCTATACATACATGTGTAATACCGAGAAAAAACGACGCATGCAACACGTGCATGGTGCCGTGTACTATATGTCGTTTCACGTTGTCGCATACCCATGCACTATTATACCTCGCCCTAGCCCTGCTCAAAACATTCGTCCAGAATGAGACAAACAATGTTGCATAAAATACAACCACCGTATCTCTCTCTTTCCGAATGAAAGGAGCATACGACGACACTATAGAAAGCACAGGCATGTAAAACGGCACACTGTGCAGACACACAGCACCGCTGCCGACAACAATTTCGAGAGACGCCGCATCTCCTTCAAAACCAATGCAACGACACTCAAATGAAACCAAACATGCTCCTACCTCCCCTTTGGTGACCCGAAAAAATTCCGCGACACAAAACAGAAACGAGCAAACCACTCACTTCTGTCGGCAGCATCGCCGAACCCTCACAGGACCACAAGGAACAGAGACAGACAGCAGCATGGCCTACTAGTAGGAGTTGTTAAGAGACACTGAAACAGACGTGCTGCGGGCAAAATACCAGCAGCGCCATGTGCGTTCAGAAATCTGATGGTTCACTGAAATCTGCAATTCACAATGCGTATCGCATTTCGCTGCGTCCTTCATCGATGCGTGAGCCAAGACATCCATTGCTGAAAGTTTTTTCCGCTTTCTACCTATTCTTCCTTCTGCTCATCAACAAAAGTGATTCGATTCACCTTAGTGAGCAAAAGTTCCTTGCTGAAGCAAAGTTCCAAGCAGCATGTAACGGAGAGAGAAAGAGACAGGACGCAAACACCAGCATGCAGCAGAGCACACAACACGGAACAATCGCCCGAGCCGCGAGCGTTCTGCATACGACACAGCCCCGTGCGCGTCTTCTCCTCTCATAATCCCCTCCACGTACGTGCGCGATCGACGATCACGGGGCTGGTTGCCGGCGCGCTGGGGCTGCCACCGACAGGCCCCACGCGAGCCCGTGCATGCGCCACCACCCCCCCGATCGCCCACGTACATACTACTGCGATATATCCTTGCAGCAGCAAAACTTCCTTCAATTTTTAAAAAGCAGAAAAACCGTTGCAGAGAAAAACAGATTCAAGGGTTGCGATGGACTAAAGTTTTCTTTCCAACAACACCGACAACTACCTGCTGCTGGCCACCCAGGCAAAGCGAATGCTTGAAACCTGTAAAACCAGCAGCGCGTTCCAGGCGTGCGAATTGTGTGAATGATCCTTCCGCAGGTTCACCTACGGAAACCGTGTTACGACTTTTGCATCCTTTAGAGGGCTCTATTTACGCAACTTCCCGACCAGCCCCACAAAGTAAGGCTTGTCCGTCCGATGAATTCACAGGACCCTCCGATCGGTTGCAGCGACGGGCGGTGTGTACAAGAGGCAGGGACTTAATCGGCGCAAGCTGCTGACTTGCGCCTACTAGGCATTCCTCGTTGAAGATTAATAATTGCAATAATCTATCCCCATCACGATGCACACTCAAAAGATTACCCAGACCTGTCGGCCAAGGTAAAAACTCGTTGCATGCATCAGTGTAGCGCGCGTGCAGCCCAGAACATCTAAGGGCATCACAGACCTGTTATTGCCTCAAACTTCCTTGCGTTAGACACGCAAAGTCCCTCTAAGAAGTGATACAGTAACCGCAAAGTTACTGACCCTATTTAGCAGGCTAAGGTCTCGTTCGTTATCGAAATTAACCAGACAGATCACTCCACCAACTAAGAACGGCCATGCACCACCACCCATAGAATCAAGAAAGAGCTATCAATCTGTCAATCCTTCCCATGTCTGGACCTGGTGAGTTTCCCCGTGTTGAGTCAAATTAAGCCGCAGGCTCCACGCCTGGTGGTGCCCCTCCGTCAATTCCTTTAAGTTTCAGCCTTGCGACCATACTCCCCCCAGAACCCAGAGACTTTGATTTCTCATGAGGTGCAGGAGAAGCCAAGGTAGGCGTTTCCCTATCTCTAGTCGGCATAGTTTATGGTAGAGATTACGACGGTATCTAATCGTCTTCAAACCCCCTACTGTCGTTCTTGATTAATGAAAACATCCTTGGCAAATGCTTTCGCAGTAGTTCGTCTTTAACAAATCTAAGAATTTCACCTCTGACAGTTAAATACGAATGCCCCCAACTGTCCCTATTAATCATTACCTTGGTCCTAGAAACCAACAAAATAGAACCGAGGTCCTATCTTATTATTCCATGCTGCAGTATTCAGGGCGACAAGCCTGCTTGAAACACTCTATTTTTCTCAAAGTAAAAGTTCCAGAACACCAACACACGCAATTAAGCGCGGAAGGCTACCGGAAATAAGCCGAGGGCATGCCAGGCACACACCCATACGGGCGACGCCGGATGACCACGACAGAAATCCAACTACGAGCTTTTTAACTGCAACAACTCTAATATACACTATTGGAGCTGGAATTACCGCGGCTGCTGGCACCAGACTTGCCCTCCAATTGTTACTCTGGAAGGGTTTTACATTCCCATCATTCCAATTACAAAGCATAAAATGCCCTGTATTGTTATTTCTCGTCACTACCTCGAAGCTGTTTTCATTGGGTAATTTGCGCGCCTGCTGCCTTCCTTAGATGTGGTAGCCGTTTCTCAGGCTCCCTCTCCGGAATCGAACCCTAATTCCCCGTTACCCGTCACTGCCACGGTAGGCCAATACCCTACCGTCGAAAGCTGATAGGTCAGAAACTTGAATGATCCATCGCGGGCCCAAAAGAACCAACTGCGATCCGTTCGGTTACTATGAATCACCAAGACTCCACTACAAAGTGGGTTGGTTTTGTATCTAATAAACACAGCCCCTCCAAAGGAGGTGACCTTTGCGCATGTATTAGCCATAGAATTACCATGGTTATCCATGTAAAATGAGACCATCAAATAAACTATAACTGTTTTAATGAGCCATTCGCAGTTTCACCGTATAAAAGCTTATACTTAGACATGCATGGCTTAATCTTTGAGACAAGCATATGACTACTGGCAGGATCAACCAGGTTGCTATTGTCGTCAACGCCTTCCTTCGACCAAACAAGAGACAAAAAAACGCCGCTCCCTCCCCCGCATGCGTTCCCAGCCCTACACTCTTACATGCCTACTCCTTCTCAGCAAGGTCACGTCGATGTGACCCAATTACAGAGGAGAAGGGACACTAAGAGACCGGTAGCGACGGACCCACAGGCGACGCGGAGAGAGACAACCCTCTTGCCGATCGACTGAAAAGCAGACGGAGGGCCTCTATATCATGTTCTTTCCTTCCAAAGCCAAACACCAATGGCCTGAGGATGAGAGGAACAGGACAAACAACGCTGCATGCAGCACTGTCGCCACACGCTGCGTGACTACTGCCCCACAGCCCTACCTCTAACCCTTCATTTGGCTTCTTCCAAACATGATTCTGTCAAGAAGAGACTACCCTGATTGCCGCAGCTTCCATATACGCAAGCGCAACTCTGCACACCATCTGCGTATGGTTCAGCCGCCCAATCATCTTCACCAACACACTCACCACCCCAAAGTGAACGGCCGCTTGCTCCACGCGTAGTCTGCAATGCTGTCCCATCAGCAACACCTGATCCTTAGTGCTCCCCGCACCTTTTACGAAGCATCCAGTGCAGCCGACTGATACCACCGCAGACAAAACAAGAAGAAGCAAACAACCTCCAACCAGCACGCAAACACCTTGCTCCCCCACCCACCACACCCCTCCTCCCAAACTGAGAATGGAGACGCGGAGGCACAACCTACACAACGTGTCCTGTCATGCCCTTTCTTGCTCCCCCACATCATTTCTTCTGCAAAACGCACCAGTACAACACCCACAAACCCTCTTCTCCAACCAACAGACCCACGAGCGGCGCTTCTCCACAGGTCCTCTACATCCCAATAACCCAGGATCACCGCCCTCCACGGCCGACGGCCCCCAAAACTCCATAACTCCGTCCTCCCGTGGTCAGCACACGCTTCTCTGACAAACAGGTGAAGCACACATCCTGACCAACGAGAACACCTGTCCCTTCCTTCTGCTCACCACCAGAAAGGATGGCGGAGGCTCGCCACGCACAACTGGTCACAAACGACGGACCACCGCCTTTCTTGCCATCCAGCTGTCCCACTGGCGTAACACACACCAACCGCTCCCTTCCTCAGCTGCCGGAACCGTTTCGAAAAAAAGTTCCTCATCTCCCCCTCCTTCGCTTCCATGCGCCGCCGACTCTCAACTGTTGACCCCTCACACCAAAACATATCTTCTTCCTCCACCATCAATCCCGCCAGTAACGCCCTCCCTCCACAATCTCCTCACTACGCACTGAAGAAGATATATCCCCTCCTCCCTCCGTCTTTCGCCCTTCCACACCACACAATGCTCAACAATCCCTCTTCTCTGCCTCCAAGAAAGCTAGGCCTCGCAAAAGCACTCCCTTCTCAACCTCTTCGCCGCGAAGTGCCCGACCGACACCACACTCTTCACGTCCATGCAACGCCCAACGCCCGCTCCAGCAACTGCTTCTTTCCTTGACTCTATATCATTTCAAGCGACAAAAGTCCACCACTCATTAGGGAAAAAGCGTGGAAGGAAATTGCAAAACCAGGACTCCCCACCACACACCGCAACCCCCAACCAACTCAACGACACAACAGTTAAGCCTCGAGACTGCCAAGCTGGGAACTCAGGTACGCCAATTTCTAATGCCCCAGCCCTATTCTTGCTCTAGGAATCAATGTCTCAACGTGGAAGAAACTAACAAGGCCAAGATTTCCCACCACACACCCCAACCCTTAATCAACTCAACGGCGAAACAGCCACGTTTCGACAGCCACGTCTCGAGACTCCCAAGCCCGGAACTCAGGTATGCCAATCTGTAATGCCCAAGCCCTACTCCTGCTCCAGGAATTAAGGCTTCCGTAAAATCTTTTTCAAAAAAAATTGCACACCTGTGCTTTTATTCTGCTTTTGCACTGACGAGGTTGGGTTTACCCCCAAAATCAAACTCCGTTTGGGGCTGGCGACGCAGTACACCTCCCCGAACAAATGCCAGTGACGCATCCTCAAAGTATTCATAGAACAATTCATAAGGTATTGAATTGTTTCTTTTCCCCGAGAATGTCTCGCTGCGGATGCCGATTCCCGTCTCAAGCACTTGGGGGATCGTGAGGGCCAGCCCACAGGGAAGCACCAGGGTGCTGAATGGTTCGCATTCTCCTCAGCTTTTGGTCATCAGGCAGTCCAGTTCATTTACATTGGTGCTTTCGGGTTTTTTTAATGTGTGGCGCTCCCAGTTTTGAAGCTTTGCAAAATTGGTGTGCAGTTGGAGAGCCGAGACGCCATCGTTTGGAATGGCGGGCGGTCACATCCCCAGATCCTCCAAGCTACTCCCCGCAGTGTGTTGTCCTCGAAGTGTAGTTCATTTATTTGAGGGTGTGTAACTAGTGTTACGGATTGGTCATTTCGATGGCTCAAACTTCCGTTTCTACTGAATTTGCGGCGTAGGTAGGGTTGTGTGCGTTGACAACGAAGAGACGGGCGGAAGCGGCATGCAGCTACCCAATCCTGAGCGTACTATTTGAGGGCATGTGCATCGTGTTACGGCTTGGTCATTTTGGCGACTAAGGCGTTGGCTTTTATTAAATTTGGGGCGTGGGTTGGGTTGTGGTGTGCTTTGGCAACAAAGAAGCCAGCGAAAGTCGCATGCAGTTGCCCAATACTGAACTTGCAAAGCGGTGCTCAGTGGCCAGTCTTAATGGAGTTGCGTAAGTCGACATGATGCAAGCAACAGTGTTGCACTTACGTGGAGTTGGTCTGTGAAAAGGGGTACCAACGAATGTGTTCAACACTAGGGCCGATTTCAGGCACCTTGACTGTCTCTACATACTTTTAATGTTTTTCGATGGGCTTTCTGCTGAAATTTTTGTTGATATTGGAGGCACAGAACTAACTACGTATTCACCTGATTCTGTGCAGGGGCAATAGTGCGGCCAGTACTGTGCTTTTCAGTTGGGCAGCCCGCGCTTCACGCGGACGGCAACAGTAAAGCCGCGACAACTAAACAAGTTGGCGCAGGTCCCATTTTCTCGACGCTGTATTTGCGCGGGGTGACTTTAGATTGATGCGAATGCTGAGATTTAATCCTTATTCAGCATCGTTCAGTCTGTGTTCAGGCGTTGAACGGTGCTGGGTATCTACCTGTGTTTCGATGCATGAAAGCATACAGATGCATTATCATGGAATACTAATACTTAAATACAAGCGAAAATGTGTGGATACATAAGCAGTCGAGTTGGAAGTCTGAGTAAGTACAAATGGACGTCTCCATCTGTGTACGTACTATGTATACTCGTATGCTTAATATACGTACATACATTTATACACATAGCCGCACGTATACTTGTGCAGATCTGCGTAAATGTATATGTTCATACAAAAAGAGAGGCAGGCAAATAATGGGAAAACTACAAATTATGAAAAGATCTACAGGTGAGGTCTTCACTGACTTCTTGTCAGATTTTAAATGCTCTCATCGCCTTTTTGCAGCGTTGCTGCTGCAATTCCTCCTACAATTTTTTTTGCTGTTAACGGCATTTAATTTTTTGCCATTTATGTAGACATGTTGAACTTTCCATGGTTGTCATGACACTCCCATTTCTCCCGGGCTTTAGTCTGTTTGCCTCTAATGCCTTTAGACTGTGGTTTGTTTCCTGCTGACACCTTCGTTTGCTGCTGCTGCTGGTGCGGCTGCTGCTGCAGTTGCTGCCGCAGCGCTGTGGCCCCTCATTTCGAGCAGCAGAAGCTGCCGCCGCACGTGAGCCTGCAGCCGCACACTGGAATTAATGTGGGTCTCCCCGCAGAAATCTTTTTAAGATTCCTGCGGAGGCAGATAGCTACCAGAGTGCGAACAAGTGGCCGCAGCAGTAGCAGCTGCTCCCGCTGCTGCTGCAGCAGCTGCTGTTGAGCCTCTCGAATCAGGAAAACCATGTTCAAACACACTCTGTAGTTCTTTTATTCCTTCAGTCCAGCTCTTTACAACGAGGCTGGCGCGCCCTCACACGGGGCCCCTTCGGCAGTGGAACTTCCAAGGAGGCCCCCTGCAATTTTTCCGTAAGCTGAAATATTCAAAAGGCGGAATTGCCGCAAGAAGTCGGCGAAGGGGCGCCTGGGTAAACACAAGGTGGCAAGTTCCAAAACTCAAGAAGTTATCGGAGAGTAAACGCAATGCGTCCACCGTAGCGTTGCTGCAGCTGTGCCAATAGGAGTACGTACCAAAAACGCTTCCATATAAAATCGCTCAAACACATGTTCATGTGCATGCATATGCAGGTATCCATTATGCTTCATACATATGACGGTGCTTCTATAAGATACGAGCATTTTCATTTACATGAAAGCGTAATGTATTCATGCGCATCGATATAGCCATACGGAGGTATTTTTCGATTTACAATATACGAATTACCATTTAAGCACCTTAAGCATAGTCCGCTGACTATTTCCCAGCTGCAGACGTATATATGTCGCGCTGCCCGTAGAATTTCCTTTTCCCTAAGCCCAAGAAGCTACATCACAAGCCCTACCTGTAGGAATAACCAACGCTTCGAAGTTGGATGGCCTCCGTGACAGAGAGGGCCCTTAGCTGCGGCAAGACTTTACGTCCGATAAATAGCTTTGGTTGCTGCTGGTCGTTTGGTTTTGTGCAGCGAATGAAGTGGGGCTCTGTCTCCTGCAGGCAAGCACAAAAAAAAGAATCAGGGTTTGGGGTCTAGAGGTCAGGAGTCAGGGTATAAGCCGTAGCGCTTAAGCATTAGGCTTAACATTAAAGGGAGAAGTGCACTTGAACATGCGCGAAAACACAGCAGCAGAAATATAAGTATCGCTAGCAGTAGCAAAACGGCGCCACTAGGAGCAGAACCTTGGAAAACAACATTCTAGCAGCAGGAGCACTATTGTCAGCACCAGCGTTAGCAACACCACCGTCGAAAGCACTAATCAATCACAGCAGCACCACCACCACCACCACAAGAAAGGGCAGCAGTAGCATCAACAGCAGCAACCTCACCGCTATGCATCAATGATAACAGCAGAGACATAATCAGCAGCAGCACTACTCCGGCCTCCAGTAACACTTGCAGCAGCAGCAGCGTTAGCAGCAGCACCGTTAACATTAGCACTGTCAGCAACAGCACCCTCAGCAGCAGCAGCGGCCGAATCTCCACCGCCATTAACAATGGCAGCGGCGGCAGTAGCAGTACCTGTATGATCGTTGCTAGGTTTTTAAGCCGCTGCATGAATTGAGACCCGATTAGTTGTCCTTTCATAAGTTTGCCTTTTGAGATTTCCACATCTTGATACAGTTGAGAAGCAACTAAGCGAAAACGCACCACCGACAAAACAAATATATCTCTTGCTGCTGCGATGTTCTTATCGCGTTCACTTCTAGGCTTTGCTTCTAGTCTTTTCTGCATTGCGTTTTAGCTTTGAGATTCACACTTTGCATTCTAATTTCACGCAAAACAATTTGTGCTCGGATTTGTTTCGCATCAGCGGCCTGCTCTCGAATCTGCGCTAGGACTTGCAGTTTCGTTTTAAGGATTTGTTTGTTTGCTGATTGCCGCCGGTAAACAGACTAAAAAGGCACTGGCTCCGTTAAAACGACAAATGGGCACATAAAGCGCAGCATTTAACAAAAAATCAACTGGCAAAGCTCAGTCTCCTCATGCACATGGTGAAACGCTGTGCAGGCTGTGACTTGAATCGTGCTTGGGAGAGCTGGGGAAGCAGGCAGCAACAGCGCGAAAGACAGAAGAATAAGCGCAAAGATCGACAAAAGGATAAATAGCGAAATGGGGTTTTAAAAAGAAAAGCGCAGAGCAGGAACCCGACGGTGAATGGATAGCGACATGGCTGCGGCAACAGCAACTCCTGACACATGCAAACAACAGCAGCCGCCCGCTAAATCTCACCCGGGTTTTTGGAGGCATTAAACAGATCCACAAACTCAGTTCGCAGCTGGCCTTTGTTTTTATTTATGAAGTTGACAGTCATGTAAGAAACGTCTCCTATGCAGTGTCGCACCGTAAACACCAGGTCAGAAGAAGGCCGGAGAAAACCCTTGTTCCCCGACTCTAGAAGACACGAAGGATGCAAAGAAATGCAAAAGAAACGTAATTAAATCAAACCAAACAGAGGTCTCCCTCGAAAAAAACAAAGAAGTTCATGAGTACAAGGAATGCACCTTCTACGAACCCAATCGAAGGGCGCCTTTTCTAAA